CCCTTGCACCCCCCAGCTGCAGCACTAGGGATTGGGGTGCCCACCCCTTGCACCCCCAGGCTGCTGTGGCACTGGGGATCAGGGTGCCCACCCCTTGCACCCCCCAGCTGCAGCACTAGGGATTGGGGTGCCCACCCCTTGCACCCCCAGGCTGCACCATTAGGGATTAGGGTGCTCAGCCCTTGCACCCCTTCCAGCCTGGCACAGCTCCCCAGGGCTCTGGGCGTTAGGTTACTCACCCCATATCCCCCCCCCTCCACTCCATGCAGCCTGGCACGGCTTCCCAGGGCACTGGGAATTAGGGTACTCACCCCACTTTCCCCCAGCACAGCCTGGCATAGCTCCCTGGGGGCATTCAGGTGCCCACCCCATGAACCCCCAGCTCCCAGGGCAGCGGGCATTTCAGTGCCCACCCTGGGAGCCCGCAGCTGTGCCCACCACCAAAGACTCACAGCATCAAGGTGCCCACCCCATTTCCCCCCCCAAAGCCAGTGGGGCACAGTTTCCCCAGGGTGCCCACCCCAGGATGCTGGGGGCTCTGGGCAGCAAGGTGCCCACCTCTTGCATCCCTAAGATGCTGGGGGCTCCAGGCATCAGGGTGCCCACCCAACACACCTCTAGGACATCGGGGGCTCCGGGCATTGGGGTGCCCACCCCATTGCCCCCCTCACCAGCCCCGAGGGCAGACGCCGATGCCTCTACCTGAGGACATGAGCAGCACGGCCTGGAGCAGGGCCACCTCGGTGTCGTCCAGGTTGAAGGCAGAGAGGGACTTGCCCAGGTCGAAGATGGCATCGGAGACGACGCCGAGGCCGCCGTTCTTCAGCTGCTCCCGCTTGACGGCCATCTCCCCGCTGAGCGTCAGTGTCTCGCTCTCGGGGTCGTAGCGCACGGCCGCCCGCCGAGACATGATCTCCATGCAGCAGCCCTTCAGCAGGATGATCTGGTCTTCGCAAGGCAGCTGGACAGGGGGGAGACGGTGTCAGGGGTGGAGGGGGGGGGCGGAATTGCTGCAGCCCCGGCCCCAGCGCCCCCTGACCCCGGTCCCCCCCTTACCTCCGAAAACATGGGCAGTTTTTTGGCAAAGTCGACCACGCGGGTGATGGCCGGGGTGATGATTTTTGTAAACTCGCTGAACGCCTCCAGGTCGACTTTGTCCCCATCAGGCATGGAGGCCATGGGTGACTGGCCGATGTCCTCGGGCTGTGGGGATGGATGGTGGGGTTGGGGGGTGTGGTGTGACCTTGTGTGTGTCCCCCCTCGCCCAGGACCCCCATCGTGGCAGGGGGAAACCGAGGCAAGGCTGGGTGCAGGGCAGCAGCCAGGAGAGGGAGCTGTGTGCCAGCGCCGGCACCAGGGCCAGGGCCACCCCTGCAGGGCACAGCTGTCCCCTTCGGTCACCGCTCACCCCTTAACCCTTCTGGGGGTGACGAGCTCAAGGACACCGGGCGACATCCCAAACCCCCGGCTC